TTGGGAGTGGGGGTGAGGAACGGGGATGGGGATGAAAAGGCTTCAGACATTCCGAGGGCTAGTGGATTCTGTAAATTACCTCCTGGGCAGAGATGAGGGTGGGGGTCTCCGGACATTCCAAGGGCCAGGGGACTTTTGTCATTCCACTTGTTACTTAAGTGGTTTACAGAAGTCAAGATAAACATTTGTTTACACATTGTCTGGGTAGTGATAGAAGTCACAGATCTTAGTTACTTATTACAAGTTACAGGAGCCAGGATGGAATTAGCTTGGGCTGCTTGTTTTGGTAAGCAAAGGCTAGCAATTCTGGCAGTTACTGATAAGAAAAGGTAAGCAGTTTTACATAGTTTGTAGAATAAACTAGCAGTTCTATTTACAGAAGCCAAGGCCAGCAGTTATTGTGAGGAGAATGGGGCAGCCATTGCAACTTATTTTAAAAACAGTTTTGTATTTTATAAAATGGCGTTGCTCAGGTTCTGGCTCTAGGCTAGCACATCATGACTGGTTAATTTTTGTATTTTAGTAGAGATGGGGTTTCACCGTGTTGTCTAGGCTGGTCTTGAACTCCTGACCTAAGCTGATCTGCCTGCCTCAGCCTGTCAAAGTGCCAGGATTGTAGGCATGAGCCACCATGCCTGACCTGTCTTGAGTAGATTAATAGTTACAAAGGGCTTGATGTATGGGGACAAGGGTTCCCTCTTGCCCTTCTTTCTTCTGCCCTGTGAGGGCAAAGCATTGCTGTCCTCAGGAAGATGCAGCAGGAAGGCCGTCACAGAATGCCAGAACCTTTTTGCATTTCCAAGCCCCCTGAACTGTGGAAAAATATACTTTGGTTCTTCATAAATTACTCTGTGATATTTCATGATAGCAGCAAAAATGGACTAAGACACCCTTCATTTATGGTTAATTGATTTTATTTATTTATTTGTGTATGTATGTATATATTTATTTATTTAGAGACGGAGTCTTGCTCTGTTGCCAGGCTGGAGTACAGTGGCGCGATATTGGCTCACTGCAACCTCTGTCTCCCTAGTTCAAGTGATTCTCCTGCCTCAGCCTCCCAAGTAGCTGGGACTACAGGCATGTGCCACTATGTCTATCTAATTTTTTTTTTGTTTTTTTTACCATCTGAGACGGAGTTTCGCTCTTGTTACCCAGGCTGGAGTGCAATGGCGCGATCTCGGCTCACCGCGACCTCCGCCTCCTGGGTTCAGGCAATTCTCCTTCCTCAGCCTCCTGAGTAGCTGGGATTACAGGCACGCGCCACCATGCCCAGCCAATTTTTGTAGTTTTTAGTAGAGATGGGGTTTCACCGTGTTGACCAGGATGGTCTTGATCTCTTGACCTCGTGATCCACCCGCCTCGGCCTCCCAAAGTGCTGGGATTACAGGCATGAGCCACCGCGCCCGGCCTAATTTTTGTATTTTTAGTAGAGACAGGGTTTCACCATGTTGGCCAGAATGGTCTCAATCTCCTGTCCTTGTGATCCGTCTGCCTTGGCCTCCCAAAGTGCTGGGATTACAGGTGTGAGCCACTTCACCTGGCCAATTGATTTTTATTAAATAGGCCAGAATAATGTAGGGGGAAGTGGTTTTTCAGCAAGGTGTTTGGAACATTGGATATTGCCCTGCAGAAAAATGAACTGAGGACCTTGTCTCACATTATGCATTAATATTTACTCATGGTGAAATCGCGAGGATAAAAGTATAAAATTAGCAGCCAATAGCTTTGTGACTGAGTGGTAGTAAATAGCTTTGTGATTGAGGGGTGGTAAGAAGGTGTGTGAGTGTGAGAGTGTGTGTGTGTGTGTGTGTGTGTGTGTGTGTGCGTGTGTAGGTAGGTAGTTTAAGAGACAGGGTCTTACTATGTCACCCAGGTTTGTCTCTAACTCCTGGCCTCAAGTGATCCTTTCACCTCAGCCTCCCAAAGTGCTGGGATTTGAGGTATAAGTCACCATGCTTAGCTTCCCCTACCCCCACCATTTAAAAAAATTATAAAATAAACAAGCTGGTCATGGTGGCTCACGCCTGTAATCCCAGAACTTTTGGAGGTTGCGGAGGGTAGATCACCTCAGGTCGGGAGTTTTAGACTGGCCTGACCAACATGGAGAAACCCTGTCTCTACTAAAAATCTAAAATTAGGTGGGTGTGGTGACATATACTTATAATCCCAGCTACTAGAGAGGCTGAGGCAGGAGAATCGCTTAAACCTGGGAGGAGGTTTCCGTGAGCTGAGATCGAACTCCATTGTACTCCAGCCTGGGCAACGAGAGTGAAACTCTGTCTCAAAAACAAAAACAAAAAAGAAAACAAAAAGAAAATATCTTAACTCAAAAAAGCAAGTGGTTCCTCTTAGTGGCTATGAATAATTTAAAATTAGTATTTTCTATATTTTGTGTACACCATCACATACACATTTTGATATTTCGATGAGTGAGTTTCCAAACCAAAATGTGTCTCAGGCCTCACCCATAGCCATTTACTGTTGGTTTCAGAGCTTCTCCTAGGATTTCTTTATAGTTTCTCAGCAGAATCACCATTACTCACGTTTTTTCCCCCATGATAGTATGGATATAAATTATTTTTTTCTGAAAGTTTTTTCTTTTTCTTTTATTTTTTTGACACAGGGTCTCACTCTGTCACCTAGGCTGGAGTGCAGTGGTACAATCACAGCTTACTGCTGCCTGGACGTCCCTCCTCAAGGGATCCTCCCACCTCAGCTTCCCAAGTAACTGGTACTACAGGTGCTAAGGTGGGACTACAGGTTCGACCCCTGCTTTCCATCATGGCCTGAACTAGATTTCTAGATTTTCAGGTTTACTTTGGGCTGCCCTTAGCTGAGTGGGAAATCCCTCTGTATGGGGGAGAGGGCTGGGCTTTAATTTTATTTTTGGTTTACACGTAGAATAGCTGGAGTCCGACTGTGATTTGATATATGAAGAAAATCTGTTATTTGTGTATTTATTTATTTATTTGTTTGTTTATTTAGAGATGGAGTCTTGCTCTGTTGCCAGGCTCAGAGACCCATTGGATTGCCTTATGGAGAGAGAACAGGTTTATGAATTTGACAATTTATGTAGGTCAGTACCTTAAACTGACTCCAGGTAAATCTTCTGCTGGTGAAAACGAAGGTCTAGGGCTGGGTGTGGTGGCACCATTTTTTAAAAAATACAAAAATTAGCTGGGCATGATTGTGGGTGCCTGTAGTCCCAGCTACTTGGGAGGCTAAGGCAGGAGAATTGCTTGAACCTGGGAGGCAGAGGTTTCAGTGAGCCGAGATAGCACCATTGCACTCCTGCCTGGGCGACAGAGTGAGACTCTGTTTCAAAAAAAAAAAGTAAAAAATAAAATGAAGTTCTGGAAGGAGAGAGTGTTGCCACACAATGCAGAGGGGATAGGAAGGCATGTTGACAGCTTAGAGTTAAATCTTTCAGTGATCCTGTCTCATCACAGGTTGTGATAGACTCGGGGGTTCGGTTTCAGCAATCAGAGTCTGGCTGCCAGGTTGAGAATCTGTTTAACCTCCTGAGTGGGGCGTTTCCTGCTGAACTGTGGTTGAAAAACTGCTTCGCTGAGCTAGTTCATGTTTTTCCTTTTTTTCTTTTTTGATTCCTTTATAGACTATTGCTGCCATATAATTCCAGTTTTTCCACACATTTAACAATTTTATTCTGTTGTTGCTGTGTTTTTATTTTCTTGGTGAAAATGAGTATCCTGAGAGATAAGGTGGTGAAGCAGAAAATGAAAGCAGAAAAACAAACTTCCTTTCTTTTCTGTAGTATAAGCAAAACTTCCCTGAATCCTCCCCCTCACCTTTGTGAAACTGTATTCTGCTTTGCAAGTTATAAGTTTTTAAATTCATGTATTCTTGTTCTCTGCAGCTAATAACAAAAAGTTGCTATCTTTCATCTAAGCAGCACAGCAAAGGTCATAAAACAGGTCTAGGCTGGCTAAATTGCAGCTAACCGAACACCGTAGTAAAGGAAGGGAGATAAGCTGTGCTTGCAACCCAAATAGTGACCATTTAAACTGTTAGGCCCGTCGCTGGCATAAAGAGACCACCAGGCAGGCTTTGTGTGTGCAAGGAGATCGTTTTAATTTCCGGCTTGGGTGCAAGCAGGCCAAGTCTGAGAAAGGAGTTATGCAAAGGGGGTAGGAAAGCGGACTGGTTATATAGGCTGGAGGAAATGGTTAAAGGTGGTAATCTATTTTAGGGAGGGGGAGGGCGTCACGGGATGCATGGTCACAAGGGTAGGGGTTATCCGTTACAAATAGGCATGATCATAGGGTGGGGGTTATGGGTTGCAAGCAGAGGGGAGGGTGCGGCAAATTACATAGTTACAGGGGAGGGGGTCTTGAGAAACCCAATGTCCGGGGGAAATTTCGGAAGGCTGAGCAGGAACAATGGTTGCAGGTTGCAGGGGGAGGGCAATTAGTTGAGGCAGGAACAAGTTGTTTAACTTCTCTTTGTGGCCGTCTGGTTACTTCGGACTTTGTGGCTACTGGGAACCATCCAGAGGCATACGTGCCGGTCACCAAGGCTGTAATGGTCAGGAATGAACTTGGAGGCCTGACATATGCCGCGTAAGTCATATGTAAACTTAATTTGTAAACCTGTCATTTAAAATAAACTCCCTTTGTTCTGCTTCTGCGTTTCATGTATAAAAGTCAAGCTTTGTCTTTTTTTTTTTTTTTTTTTTTTGAGACGGAGTTTTGCTCTTGTTACCCAGGCTGGAGTGCAATGGCACGATCTCGGCTCACCGCAACCTCCGCCTCCTGGGTTCAGGCAATTCTCCTGCCTCAGCCTCCTGAGTCGCTGGGATTACAGGCACATGCCACCATGCCCAGCTAATTTTTTGTATTTTTAGTAGAGATGGGGTTTCACCATGTTGACCAGGATGGTCTCGATCTCTTGACCTCGTGATCCACCCGCCTCGGCCTCCCAAAGTGCTGGGATTACAGGCTTGAGCCACCGCGCCCGGCCAGCCGGTGCACATCTTAACAAAATCCTCCCGTTCCACCCATCTGCTAATTCCCGAAACAATGGGAGAAAGGCTTGCCCATGCAGCCAGCAGCCTCATTCCTGCTGCAGTGTGGTCTTCTTGGCGTTCACTCCCCTCCTGCTCTGAAGCCAGGGGAAGGCTCCACTGGACAGTGAGTCTGGGATTCCCTGCACACAGTTGTGACCCCCAGTCCTGGGGGAAGCAGCAGGAAGGGCCCGCAGACTACTGGCAGGGAATTCTTCTTAAATGCAAATATTTCCTGGGAGGGGTCAGGTCCCTGCCGAGGGCGGAACCACCGCCAACCTTCCACCTTCTCCCCAGATCTGGAACCTGTTTATCCGGTTCCTCTCAACACTGGAAGATCACCTCTTCTGTCCCTCAGTGCCCAGGGGGCGGGACCTGGGGCACTATCCAATCACGGTCTCTGTCGGGGTGGTGAGCACGGGGAGATCACTTCTGCTGTCACTCAGGGCCCAGGGGGCGGGATCTTGGGCAGTATCCAATCAGAGCCACCGGGCGGGGTCGTGAGAAGTGTCCATCAGGCGCCTTGCCTGGAGGAGGTTGCGAGGTTTAAAAAGCCCGCCGATTCTTCTCACACCCTTTTCTCCGCTCTGTGCTCGGTTGCTCCGGGGCCAGTACTGGCAGCAGGAGGTGGAGGGAGGAACCTACCGCAAAAGCTGGGAAATGGTGAGTGTTCAAGGCCAGGGGTCCTGAGACGGTACGCCTGGTTGGAACCGGCTGTGGTGGGAACCAGACCTCCCCGCCGTTGTCTCTGTGGTCTGGGACTCGCGTCCCCTGACGCAGCTCCGCCCTCGGTTCCATCGGCCGCAAGGTGGGGCTGGGCCAGCAGCCTGGACCCCGGGCGTCCTGTCCCGCCCTTTCGCGGCGACTGCGGCCCCTGCCTTGAGCCCTTTCTGGGCAGCTCCTTGCCCGCAGCCCCGCATCTCCCCAGAATGTGTGGGTCCATGGGAGGGTCATTGGGGGAGTCTGCCTCAAGTGTGGGGTTCGTGTGGGAGGAGCAGCAGTCTGTGGGTTCTTCAGTTGCTTCTTTGTCTCCAGGAGCCTCGGGTTTTTCCTGAGATTTCGAGATATATGCGAAGCAGGGACGCAAATCCGCGACTGTAATCCCCGGCCTAGCTTCTAGGACTGCCGGCAAATCTCTGGATTTCCGGATTTACACAGCGGACCTCCTGTCTTCAGTTGACCACAACAATGTCAACTCTTCATCCCCCAGGCTTTGTTTCAGACACACGAATTCGCGCCATTGCACTCCAGCCTGGGCGACTGAAGGAGACTTCGTCAAACAAAAAAAAAAAAAAGAAAAAAAAAAGCGATTAGGAAAATTCCTTTCCATTTTCATTGATCTAAAATGTGATTTGTTTGGATTTCATATAACTATTGTTAAAACGCGCGCTCTGAATGAAGAGACCCCAAACAGGCTTTGTGTGAGCAACATGGCTGTTTATTCACCTGGGTGCATGGGTTTGGGGTGGGCAGTGGAAAGTTATAGAAGTTACAGTTGGCTGTCTTTTTGCAGGCTGGGAGGGGTCGTAGGGTGTGGCATAAGGAGGGTGGTCAAAGTCTGTTACAAAGTCCTGTGGCCTTGTCAGTGGAGGCCGGAATGAGAAACAATAGAGAATATCTTAAAGTTAAGTAGCCTAGGCGGGGGTTGATAATTTCTTCCTCTTTCTACAATCTTACAGCCATTTCAGGTTTTCTAATTCCGGAAGGCCCTCTAGAGTTGTATGTGCGGTTCATAGGGGTGCCGTGCCGTCCACGGTGGTCAGACCTTACATTCCTGTCTTTTTATATTAGTAATGTAAATAAAAAAGAAATGAAGAGTGGAGAGCAGTGTAATATTAGGAAGGCCGGCACAGAGGGTGGATGGGGCAGTGTTTCTCAGGGTTTCTTCAAGCGGGATTGGGGGTGGCGTGGAAACCTAAAAATGGGAAAGAATTTAGACTGCTGGGAGATCTCGGGGCAAGGGGTGATATTGTGGGGTTAGAAGGACCATTTGTTGTATTGACTAATTATTGCTTATATGCGATTTTTTTAAGGAATTAAGAGATTAATCAGAAAACATTACAGAGGCTACGGAAGCTGAGGATTGAGGTGGTCAGGCCTGCTTTACCTGGTGCTGAGTGTAGTAGTAGTTTGTAACTCTACCAGTAAGGGGATCAATGGAATGACCCGCTGTGTCTTGTTGGGATCACAAGGGGAACAGGAAGGCTTTTGTCCCCATTGGCGAACTGAACTTTGGGAGTAAGGAAAACTAGGGTACAAGTGCCTCTGTGCAGTTGGTAGGAAGGCAGATGTAAGAAGAACCACAGAGGAAAAAAGTCCTTGGCTTCGACATAACTGGGAGTGTCAAGTGAAAAGATGAGGAAGTGTTCTGAGGGTGTTGAGGTTTGGACCCAGATGCCAGGGGAGCCCCCAAGGGCTGCGGCTGTTAAGGGTTATAGCGGGATTTGGTAGGGTAACCGTGTGGAGGGCAGAGCTTTTGTTTTCTGTGTGTATGAGGAAGCGTGTGGTATCTATAAGTAACCAATCACTTTCATTAACAAGTTGGGGTATGAGCAGAGAATGGGAGTGAGATTAAGAGTGAAATATTAGCTGTAATTGCCTGGAGGAAAAGTGTAATTTGGCAACTGAACAAAAGCAGGGCATGTAAAAGTAAATTAGTACAGTGAATTTGAGCACAGTTAAACAGAAAATAATAGAAACGGAGACATCCTGAGGTGTGTTTTAAGTAGCGGGGGTGATTGCATAAAGCTGGAGAAGGCCAGTGGCTGAAAGTAACTGCGTGAGGTGTGAAGGGGAAACTACGAGGCCAGGCGCGGTGGCTCACGCCTGTAATCCCAGCACTTTGGGAGGCCGAGGCGGGTGGATCACGAGGCCAAGAGATCGAGACCATCCTGGTCAACATGGTGAAACCCCGTCTCTACTAAAAAAAAATACAAAAAATTAGCTGGGCATGGTGGCGCGTGCCTGTAGTCCCAGCTACTCAGGAGGCTGAGGCAGGAGAATTGCCTGAACCCAGGAGGCGGAGGTTGCGGTGAGCCGAGATCGCGCCATTGCACTCCAGCCTGGGTAACAAGAGCGAAACTCCGTCTCAAAAAAAAAAAAAAAATATATATATATATATATATATATTACAGATACCGCTGTGTCCTTCCCCAAGGACTTCCTGGCAAGTGGAGTGGCCGCAGCCATCTCCAGGACGGTGGTAGCACCCATTGAGCTAGTCAAGCTGCTGCTGCAGGTGCAGCATGCCAGCAAGCCGATCAGTGCAGATAAGCAATACCAAGGGCATTATAGACTGCATGGCCCCTATTCCCAAGGATCAGGGAGTCCTGTCCTGGCACAGTAACCTGCCAATGTCATCACATACTTCCCCACCCAGGCTCTTAACTTTGACTTCAAAGATAAATACAAGCAGATCTAACTGGGTGGTGTGGACAAGAGGACCCAGTTTTGGCGCTACTTTGCAGGGAATCTGGCATCAAACAGTGCTGCTGGGGCCACATCCTTGTGTCCTTGTGTTTTGTGTACCCTCTTTATTTTGCCCGTACCCGTCTAGCAGCAAATGTGGATAAAGCTGGAGCTGAAAGTGAATTCTGAGGCTTCAGCGACTGCCTGGTTAAGATCTACAAGTCTGATGGGATTAAGGACCTGTATCAAGACTTTAACATGTCTGTGCGGGGTATTATCTTCCAAGCTCCCTACTTTGTTATCTATGACACTGCAAAGGGAATGCTCCTGGATCCCAAGAACACTCACATTGTCATCAGCTGGTTGATCGCACAGTCACTGCCGTTGCTTACTATTTATTTGACACTTCGCCACCGCATAATGATGCAGTTGGGGTGCAAAGGAACTGACATCATGTACACAGGCACGCTTGACTGCTGAAGGAAGATTGCTCTTGATAAAGGAGGCAAAGCTTTTTTCAAGGGCGCATGGTCCAGTGTTCTCAGAGGCATGGGTGGTGCTTTTGTGCTTGTCTTGTATGATGAAATCAAGAAGTACACTTAAGTTGTTTCCTAGGAATTTTCCCCCTGTGAACAGGCATGTTATATAACATCTTGAGCATTCTTGACAGACTCCTAGCTGTCAATTTATCAGTGGCAATTATTTGCTGGTTGATAATGGGAAGCAGTAATAGTCATCTGACCAGTTTTCTCTTAAAGCCATTTCCATGATGATGATAGTGGGACTCAATTATATTCTTTATTTCAGTCATTCCTGATAAATAACAAATTTGGAGAAATAAAAATATCTAAATTTTTTTAAAAGGCCATGTTATAATACATGGGTGATAACAAGCAAGCTTTAGGCCTTTTTTTTTCTTTTTCTTTTTTGTTTTTTGAGATGGAGTCTCACTTTTTCACCCAGGCTGGATTGCAGTGCCAGGATTTCAGGTCACTGCAACCTCTACGTCTTAGGTACAAGCAATTCTCCTGCCTCAGCCTCCTGAGTAGCTGGGACTACGGGTGTATACCACCGCGCCTGGCTAATTTTTGTATTTTTAATAGAGACAGGGTTTTAACATGTTGGCCAGGCTAGTCTTGAATTCCCAACCTCAGGTGATCCACCTGCCTCGGCCTCCCAAAGTGCTGGGATTAGAGGCCTCACCCACCGTGCCCAGTGGGTTTTTTAGGCCTTTTAAAGGGTGTTGAGAGTTGGGATACTGGCACTGGGCGGGATTATGGTGGTTAGGTTTTAAGGAGATGATGAGGGGTGAGTGACTTGTAGCTATGGATGAAGAGGTGGTGTCCTGCACACTAGGGTTAACATAGGGGGACATAAGGGGAGCTATTGAGGGAGGTGGTGGGTTCGCAGAGGAGGATGGCAATGAACTGTGGCTGTAGCCCAGGAATAGTTAAGGAGGCAAACAATTTTGCTAGGGTATGTTGGTTTAAACAAGGGAACTGGACACGTGGGGATGATTAGGAAAGAATGTGGAAAGGAATGCTGGCCTAATTGACACCAGGCTTGGGGAGTTTTGAGAGGCCTGGAGGCCTTGCCATTAATTCCCACAACAGTTATGGAGGCCAAGGAGACAGGTCCTTGAAAAGAGGGCAGCGTGGAGTGGGTGGCCTCATGTTGATTAAAAAGAGGATGGACTTACCCTTCACTGTTAGGAGTTAACTGAAGCTCGGTGTCCATATTTTCCAGGGGGCCCCTGAGATGTTTGGGCAGTGTCAGTCTTCAGCCGCCAAGCCAAGGAGATCAGGGAAAGAGTCAGCCTGAGGGCTATGGGGTTGGGTTCGTGGAGCCTTAGAGATGGTGGTTTCAGTTGGGCAGTGCAACTTCCAGTGGAGTCCCACACAGACGGGACCACAGCTTCTGAGGAATCCCGGGCTGTGGGCATTCTTTGGCCCAGTGGCCCGGTTTTTGGCATTTGAAGCAAGGCTTTGGGGGAGGAGGTCCTGAAGAGAAGCCTGAATGCTGAGGATTTGCTGGTGTGAAACTTCAATGAGCTGAAGGAGTGGCTGGGATCTTTCTTACAGTGGAAGCAAGCATTTGTAATTCTGAGATATACTACTGCTTGGCAGCCTCATCTTGGTTATTAAACACCTTAAAGGTGAGGTTGATTTGTTCCTGTTGTGGGGTGTGAGGGCCAGATGCTAGTTGTTGAAGTTTTTTTCCTAATATCCGGGCATATTGGGTAATCAAGTGCATATTAAGCATTCTTCATTCTTCACTGGTGAGAGTAGAAGTAAGGATGACATTTAAGTCACTCCAGGTGGCATGGTAGGACTGCATTAAGTATTGGAGGATCTGATGAAAAGGAGCTTAGGCGTTGGCAGATTTGGAAAAGGTTGGATAAAGAAAAAGGAACGTGCACCCTTACTATGCCTTTGGCTTCAGCCACCTCTCAAGGGGGGAATTTTTGGGCAGGGATAGAGGAGTTAGACTCAGGACTAAACTGTAAGCCGGGTCGCGATGACTTGGGGAGGTGACAGGAGGAGCATGGGGAGGTGGGTTGTAGGCAGAGGAAGAGGAGGGAGGCCCTGGGGGCGGGGTTGGGCCTGAATTGGGGCCTGGGTCAGACAGGCAGGGAGGAGAAAGGTCAGAAGGGTCAAAAGACAAGGAAGGTTCTTGGTTCCTGGTGGAGGCAGGAGGGGTGGACGCAAGGGAGAGAAGGAGCAGTGATCAGGGAGGGATTAGAATGTAAAAAAAAAATATCTGGACGTCTGGTACCTAAGACCATTTTCCCATTGTGGACAAAAATTGTCTAGGTCTCACAGAAGACAGGAATAGAAAGTGCCGTTTTTTGGTCATTTGGATTGAGGCCAGGCTGTGTTACAGAGACCTTTAGGTTTCAGATCAGGCAACAGTTGAAGAGGTTTTAGGTTTTGTAGAAAGCCGGCTAGAGTTTAGGATTGAGGAATAGAAGGCTGAGTGTTGCCCATAGCGAAAGAGGTAAGTTTTAAGGAAAGGAGTAGAGATGAAGAGAAGGAGTGAGCAGCCACCAGTGTTTTGAGTAGGCATCCCTGACTGGTTCCTGGGCTGTAACATGGGTGAGTGAGCAAGGCAGGAGTCCCCACGATTGACCAGACACCAAGGGAAGAGACTTGTCTTCTCTGGCTCTACACAGATAAAGAGTGTCTCTTTATCTCTACCACAAGGAGACATATTTCAAGAAAAAGAGAAAGAGGGAGAGACTTGTCTCCTTGGGATTTGAAGGAAAAGAGAGAGAGGGGAGACGGCTTATCCTATCTGAAGGTGGCAAGAGAGCTGTCGAGGCCTCAGGTGGGTCTCTTCCCAGAGGG